TGATCGTTCAAACGATGAAAGTGCTTTCGAGTACTCGCCCATGTTATCATACACCAACCCGATGTTGTTGTAAGATTGAGCCAAGTCGGGATGATTCGGAGGGAGAGCTATTTTTCGGATTTCAAGTGATCGTTCATACGATGAAAGTGCTTTTGAGTACTCGCCCATGTCATCATACACTATGCCGATATTGTTGTAGGAAGCAGCCAAGTCGGGATGATTCGGAGGGAGAGCTATTTTCGTGATTTTAAGTGATCGTTCATACGATGAAAGTGCTTTCGAGTACTCGCCCATGTTTTTGTACACTATACCGATGTTGTTGTAGGACGAAGCCAAAATGAGATCATTTGGTGAGAGAATTTTCTTGTCGATATCAAGTGATTTTTCGTAATAGAAAAGTGCTTTTGAGTACTCGCCTAGGTGGCTAGAAACCCAGCCAAGTTGATAATTGTATTCCGCTCGCTCTTTATCAGAAGATGCCTTTGCGAGGAGAATCTGATAGAGTTGTTCAGCTTTTGCAGGTTCGCCCACTTTAATAAGTATGAAACCAAGTCGAGACCATCCTGTGCACCCACCAAGTTCCTCACGTATATGTGCAGTAAGTGTGTTCAATTCGTGATTGTCATTACCGACAATAGTGAGAGTGACTTTGTATAGCCGATCAGAGGGATTATCGGGAATTCGTTCAATGCGATCGATACGAAAAATCGCATGTGTTGAAAATAGTATTTCTTCCTCTTTATCCTTGTAGTAGCCCACTTTGCTTACTTCAGCAAATGGTGTTGATGATTTTGTACAAATAGCCGTGTCAATGTTCATAATGAAGAGAATACCAACTGAATTTGTATTTAATGCTGCTGGTCGTGCAAAGTTTTTGAAAGATATCTCACGATTGCGACTTGTCGACAGAAAATTGTTGAAGGACATAAGTCCTCCTTTGGTTTTTTTCATTTTTTCAAAATCTTCCATGGACAAACCTTGTCCACGGAAGACTTGAAATTTTGCTGGTATGGAATCTTGTTGTTGACGATGTAATTCAGTAATATGATGATGTAGATGTCGGATGAAAAATCCCATTTTAAGGATGATGTCAACATCCATTTCTCGGAGTCCCCGATTGAGCATTGGATATATAAATGTTTCAGCCGTATACCACCATATTGGTGTATGATCACGATATTCATTTTCGACCTTCCTAATTTGACCTTCATCGATATCATCTTGTAGACGACAGTACTCTACGAGATCTTTAATTGATTTGACATCGTCATCTTCAATTTCCAAAAGTGCTTCTTTTAAAAGTTGTGTATACATAAATAATGCATCACGACCATTAAAGCTGATCGAGATCATTGCTCGATCACAATTTTCGCGATCGATTTGCAAGGCCTTACAGATTGGTTTGATTTTTGTGTATACACCTTTAACCTTTGGTACTTTATTGGCCCATTGTTCATGAGCTGCTTGGTTGCGACAGAATACATACACAGATTCTAATTGTGGTATGGTTTCAATATCTGTTACTATTTTTTGTCCAAGTGAGCCTGACACTATCATAAATACCTTTTGATTTGTAACGGCACTGAGAAAATCAATGCATTCTTGAGCATCTTTAAATGTTTCGATGCTTGCTACAACACGTCGCAGGCGTCGAAACGATTTCTTGAAATCGTCATTGGACTCATCCAATTTGGCATCAAGCCATAGAAGCCGGAAATTTTGAAGAACTCGACCCACAGGTCGAGACAACACAACAGCAGCACGATTGTTCGCGTTGATAATAGTGGTGGTGCTAGGCATCGCTGCTGCACCACTGATAACAGTTGTTGTCGATTTTTGTTTGCTCATCGTAATTGAACGAATGAATATAATCAGTGAAACGAAGTCCCCTATATTTATAATTGTTAAATTTTTTGTTGGTTAACATCATTCATTTTCTGACTTGTGGCTACAGACTTCAAGAACCTCTACTATCTGGTTCATTTTTGTTTCAAGAGTGTTACTAACAAAATGACGATAACGGATGGACCAAGTCTCTATACATCGAACCATAAATAAAGAAGAATGACTAAGCAAACAAATAGTCGCTGAGGACGGACGACATGACTAGTCCGAAATGTCGAAAATACCTGTCTTAACTAGTTATCCTGACATGAAAACTCCTGCAGCTACGTCTGAACTAGTCCAGAATGTCCTCAAACTTCGACATGTCTAACCCGTTTCTCTATCTAATCAATCCAGATTAGTCGGTAGACCAGAAAAAGAGTATTTCTAAAAGTAAGAATTGTGCCTTTCATTGCTGGTATTCGCGTTGAAATTTATGCATAGAAACAGTTACTCTGTTTAATATGTTTTACAATAAGATTGTTTTATACATACAAGATTCTGCAACCAAGACAATCGATTGCATGTATCATCAAGCGAAGTTCTCGTAAAACTACTTTATAAACA